TTCATTGTTTCCGATGAGAACTCTGCCTTCATATATATTATTGTTCTTCTGTAATGAATGCATCTTTTTTCTATGGCTCCTTTCAAGATGTTCTAATTTGGACTCTGATTATCCGTGACTCTCTGTGTCACTCTGATATGCCTATATGCGGTTTTCTTGGTATTTATCTTGCTAACTGCTCTCTGACGTTCTTGGAACTGTAAGTGAAAGTTTTTCAATCATTTTTCAAAAATATTTATTGCCTCATTATAATGATTTTTCTTTTGGAGCTCCAATGCATACATATTAAACTGTGTAATATTGGTCCATAAGTTCAAGGGGGGTTGTTCATTTTTTTCTTGAATCTTTTTAGATCTCTGTTCTTGAGACTATATAATTTCTGTTTATCTGTTTTCCAAGTCCCTGTAAATTGGTGAGATCCAATCTCAAAACTCTGTCTCCTCTAAGAATCTCGTTAGGGCTTGGTTTTAAGCTTTGTTAAAGTGGGTATAAACAGGACCTTTCTCTGGGTGTAGCTTTTATCATAAAGCAGTGATTCAGCTTCATTCCCACTTTGTTAGGAGGTGTTAAAGGGTCTATTCAAGAAGTCTGGGCCCTAAGTTCGAAGTCCCCAGCACTGCTTAATGTCTAATCTCTCTGTTCTGCTCTTACCTCTGTAACAGACAGTCTTTTATTAACTTTGTGTGGCTGTGTTTGGTGGTACTGCCCAGCTCTCAGTCAAGGGTGTGTGGGAAACCGCCACATGAACTTCATGACCTCCGCAGACTCCTTCTCTTAATGCCCTGGCCCACAGATCCCAACCACTTCAAAAGCCCAGAACTCTGATCTCTGCCTCTTCAGATAAGAGAGACTTGCGCATTCTGATTGAACTCCAGGTTGATGCACTATAGCTGGGAAATTTTCCCCAGGCAGAGATCCAGGGAAACTGTGGGGCTCACCTTGTTTCTTTCCTCTCAGGAACCATAGCCCACTTACATGGTCATTTTCTTTTAGATATTTAACCCTAATATTTATTCATATTCCTACTTGGTTATGTGGTACCTACCCCAACAACACTGTTCCTTCTTATTCTTGAACTGTTGCTCTTTAGTTGTCCTCTGACATTCCAATTCTTCCTTCACGTTTGAGCTCTTTAGTACATTCTCTTGACTTCCTGGTTTTGTGATCAGTTTGTATTCTCTTTTCATATTGAACTTTTTTTCTTTTTGGACTTCAGGGTATAGACAGTCCCACCTGATGTGGCAATATCCTGCCACTTAAAGTATAAGAGACTCAATCTATCAGATGTCGCTATGAATGACCATTCCAGTTGAACCAAACTACCTTCCCTCTTCCTTAATGGGAGGGGAAGAGGGAAGGTAGGGAATTCTGACACCAGAGAACACTCATTTGAGCCTTGTTCTCTATTAGATAGAACTGAAAATGAAATGCCTATCAATATAAATTGTCTTCTTTTTTCTTGCTAACATAAATTTTGTCAGGGACTAGAATATGCCCATTTTAACATTAAAATTCCAAGATTCCCAGAAGCTAGAAGTGGCCATGTGACATACCTCTCTCCAATGAGATGTGTGTCAAGGGCATCAGGTGGGACTTTGGGTAACCAGTTGTTTTCACTGTTTAAAAAAAAAAAAAAGACATACATGGCTCCTCATTTCTCCTTATGCCCATTCCCCATTCCCTTTCCACTTACTCACAAGGTCAACTTAAATTAGTCAATCCCACCTTTACCAAAAACACAGGAGAAAAACTAAATGTTTATTTGCTGTATGCCACTGATATCTTTTTAGTTACTGGCTATGCAGCATTAATCTAGCAATAGCTGATTGAGACAATAAGCTAGACTCAAATCATGGAAACCTACAACTAGGAGAAGACAAAATGCAGCACGCAATAGCCCACCTCTGCTGCTAGACTGCCTGGGTTCACTGCCCAGTTCTATTGTTTTTACTCATGTTGATTTTTACCAGTTTGATTATCCTTGATCTCAGTTTCCTTAATTGTAAAATAGGAATAATAATGGTTTAGTTTTAGTTTATTTGTTTTTTTCTGGTAAGGACTAAACAAAGATAATCATTTAACATTTGATAAAATGATATCTGGTACACAACAGATGCTTAATTAATATTCAAAATTATTATTCAATACTAGACCAGGGAGGGAGGGTTAGATTTTACTCATCAGGCCGGTGGTATTTTACAGATTTCCACGGAAGACTGTTGTTCTGTCAGCTGGAGTGTTCCCTGATAAATCAGAATAATGGTGGTCTTTTCCTAGTATGCAGATTAATTTAAGTAAATTGATATAAATTACTTGTTCTAATAATTTTTCTCCCCTATATGTTTTTAAATCTCTAGTGATTGGCACAACTTGTTTGCGAGTCAAATGAAAACATGTAAATGAACAAATATCATTATCATTAATAGAAAAAATTCAGAAACACCAATTACACTTAGTTTAACAATCTGTCTTTTAAATAGACATGTGTGCCCCCAAATTGTCATTTTATATTATACAAGCAAAATACAATATTTTCTCCCAGGAAACTTGCTCCTAGTTCCTGTGATTGAATTGAAAATATTGTTTCATGACACTTTACAAATAATACGGTATTATGCAAAAAACACAATAATCTGCAGGTTTAAGATCTCTAGCAATATAAAAATAATCCCTTGTCAGAGGCAGCGAACAGAAAAGAGTTGATTAGTGACAGAGACATTAGGAAAATGGAGAAAATTTGACAACATTTGGACGTAGGTGGTGAGAGAGAGAAGAGATTCTTAAACTTTAGTGCAAATAAAAATTACCCTGAGAGCTTAATAAAAATGTATACAGAGTCCATGTCCCCAATCCCAAAAATTCTGGCTCAGAATTTCTGGAATAGTGACCTAGAACCTGCATTTTTAACAAATCCCATTTCTGATTCTGATTCAGGTAGCTAAGAATCACATTTGGAGAAACACTAGAACATATGCTCTAACTATTTGTAATCATTAGTTTAACTCTGCTATTTCAGAATTATTTAGCACTTTGCAGTTACTGGCAAGCATTGATGCCAGTGGAAAGCCAAGGGTAAAGGATGACTCCAAGATTTTATGCCTGAACACCTGAGTGAAGAATAATGCCATTAATCAAGACAAGGAACACAATGATAAAAATGAGATACTGTAAAGAAAGAAAGATGATGATGAACATTTTTTTTTTGATTGTTGAATATTGGACTTTTTTGAGGAGTGGAAGGGAGTGGCATTACATACTAACTCTCTTCCACATATGACTCTGAATAAGGTCGTGAATAAGGGAGAGAAGGAACCCAAGGAGCCACTTCATTACTGATAAATGCCCAGGTGGGAAGCTAAAATTAGGGTGTGTCACCAATGGGCTTCCTCACACTGGAACCCAGCATTAAGAGGCCTAGTCCCTGCAATTCTACGTGGCAGGAGCAACTGCATTGATCTGTTACCCCCAAGCAGCTAGAAGACACTATCCTCTCCACCTTACCTGCAATAGTCCTTTACACAATTTCTACTGTGGACTCTGTATTTGTCATTTATAACACACACTTCAGAATCAGAATGAACGCAAGTGTTTATTCTGTTATCTCCATTTGAACCTAAGTGCTAAGAGAGCAAGGATCATATCTTACTTGCCTACTATTCAATACTCAGACCCAGTGCTAAGAAAGGAGTAGAAAGTCTAAACAATTTGTTGAATGAATAAGTTTTTAAAAGAACAAATACTAACGTTGACTTCTGGTATGGTGTTTGTTTGTATCTGCTCAAACCAAAGTTCCATGTTACTGATGTCAAAGTTAAACAGGCAGGGCTTCCCTGGCGGCGCAATGGTTGGGAGTCCGCCTGCCAATGCAGGGAACACGGGTTCGTGCCCCGGTCCGGGAGGATCCCACATGCCGCGGAGCAGCTGGGCCCGTGAACCATGGCCGCTGAGCCTGCGCGTCCGGAGCCTGTGCTCCGCAACGGGAGAGGCCACAACAGTGAGAGGCCCGCGTACCGCAAAAAAAAAAAAAAAAAAAAAAAAAGTTAAACAGGCAAAGACTTATCCAAGATGACTGCAATACAGAAGAGGGGCCAGGACTCTGAGCTCAACTCACCAGAAAATAACAAAAAGCTTATGAGATTTTAAGAGTAGGGAGGCTCTTAGGCCAATTCTGTTTACTAATTAGCCTTACCCAAAGAAAAAGTAAAATTTTCTCGTAGCTTCGTGGCAGGAGGTAGTTTTACAAATTGAAACAAGATGCCTGCCTAAGTTAGGCTCCTACCCTTCCAAAGAGACTGGGGAATAGGGATATCTTCTTTGTTGACGACATTTTTCAAAAGGATGGCTCCTTGTTCCTTCAGAAAGACAGCCCTGGGTTACATCACCGGCAAGAACTTTTTTAAAGATTTATATTTCAAAAATGCAGAGAATCAATGTACAGTTACAAGTTTTCTAACGTAAACGCCCTAAGGAAAGAGAGGTCAAGGACCTTGAGGCAGGAAGAAACCTGTCTAAAATTTATACCTGAGCTTAGGGAAACCAAGGCGGTCTTAATAAATGGTTAGCTGTGTTTCTGCAGTTCTGCACCAACGAACTCAAATTACAAGCTTCCAATCTCTCATGGTTTCTTCATGCAAAGAGCTGCTGCACACTTTACACAACTTTTTTCTGTTTACTTTCTTACTTGTGAGCCAACCACGGAGCTCTTCCCCGCGCCTCTGGCAGGGCGCGTGCGCAGATGGCCTTGTGCGCCTGACGTCACGGAACGCGCCAGCCCCGGCATGTTAGCAACCGAAAGCGTCCCTGGTAGCAGTGGCTGCTGAGATGTACGAACTTCCGGTTCTCCCGGCAGCTGCAGCCGCTGACGCTTCTGCCACCTGCTGTGGCCGGGTCTTAGCCCGGGATTTGGTCACCCTTCATTCTTCACTGCGCCCATGGTCCCACCTGGAGCCAGGGCAGCGGGCCCGGCAGCTCCCACGTGGTGAGAGGGCGGTCCGGGGAAAATGAAGGCGACGCACTGTAGCTGCTGCCTCAGCCACCTGCTCGCCTCCGCCCTCCTGCTGTTGCTACTGCTGCCTGAGTTGAGAGGGCCCTTGGAGGTACTGCTGCAGGCGGCCGAGGCCGTGCCGGATCCCATGCCTCCGGACCGTGGGCCGCGAACCCTGCCACCTCTGCCGTCTGGACCCACAGCTGCCCGATCCCCGGGCCGCGCTCCGGCCGAAGCCGAGGGACCACGGGGCGCCGAGGGCATCAATAGCAGCACTCCCAGTGCGAGGCTTGCAGCCGAAGACCCAGGCGGGAAAGCGGGGGAAGAAGGCCCAGTGGGTGGCGTCCTCGCTGTGAGCCCCAGCCCCGGCGACAAGCCCATGACCCAACGAGCCCTGACCGTGTTGATGGTGGTGAGTGGCGCGGTGCTGGTGTACTTCGTCGTCAGAACGGTCAGGTGAGGCGAAGCCTCGATGAGCCTCCCTCGCAGGCCTGAAATGGGCTATCTTTAGACCTGGCGTTGCCCTCTTCCCACCCCCAGTATCATGGGTGCCTACCTGAGTGAGAGACTGTGAGGATGAATGTCTAAGAGGCCTGTGGTACCTTTGGGAGTATTTTAACCACCAAGTAGTTGCTCCCTATCATTTATAAGTTATAAATTAGTACGGAACCTCTAAATCTTTATTTGAGTAAATTAATAGTAATGCAGAATGACCTTATTATATGGGTACTTTATTTTATAAAATGTAAAAGAAAAAAAGTTATTTTAGCAGTAGTTTTCTTTTCTTACATCTTTATTGGAGTATAATTGCTTTACAATGGTGTGTTAGTTTCTGCTTATAACAAAGTGAATCAGTTATACATATACATATGTTCCCATATCTCTTCCCTCTTGCGTCTCCCTCCTTCCCACCCTCCCTAGCCCACCCCTCTAGGTGGTCACAAAGCACCGAGCTGATCTCCCTGTGCTATGCGGCTGCTTCCCACTAGCTATCTATTTTACGTTTGGTAGTGTATATATGTCCATGCCACTCTCTCACTTTGTCACAGCTTACCCTTGCCCCTCCCCATGTCCTCAAGTCCATTCTCTAGTAGGTCTGTGTCTATTCCTGTCTTACTCCTAGGTTCTTCATGGCATTTTTTTTTTCTTAGATTCCATATATATGTGTTAGCATACAGTATTTGTCTTTCTCTTTCTGACTTACTTAACTCACTTGACTTACTTAACTTACTTAACAGACTCTAGGTCCATCCACCTCACTACAAATAACTCAGTTTCGTTTCTTTTTATGGCTGAGTAATATTCCATTGTATATATGTGCCACATCTTTATCCATTCATCCGATGACGGACACTTAGGTTGTTTCCATCTCCTGGCTATTGTAAATAGAGCTGCAATGAACATTTTGGTACATGACTCTTTTTGAATTATGGCTTTCTCAGGGTATATGCCCAGTAGTGGGATTGCTGGGTCATATGGTAGTTCTATTTGTAGTTTTTTAAGGAAACTACATACTGTTCTCCATAGTGGCTGTACCAATTCACATTCCCACCAGCAGTGCAAGAGTGTTCCCTTTTCTCCACATCCTCTCCAGCATTTATTGTTTCTAGATTTTTTTGATGATGGCCATTCTGACTGGTGTGAGATGATATCTCATTGTAGTTTTGATTTGCATTTCTCTAATGATTAAGGATGTTGAGCATTCTTTCATGTGTTTGTTAGCACTCTGTATATCTTCTTTGGAGACTGTCTATTTGGGTCTTCTGCCCATTTTTGGATTGCGTTGTTTGATTTTTTGTTCTTGAGCTGCATGAACTGCTTGTAAATTTTGGAGATTAATCCTTTGTCAGTTGCTTCAATAGCAAGTATTGTCTCCCATTCTGAGGGTTGTCTTTTCGTCTTCTTTATGGTTTCCTTTGCTGTGCAAAAGCTTTGAAGTTTCATTAGGTCCCATTTGTTTATTTTTGTTTTTATTTGCATTTCCCTAGGATATGGGTCAAATAGGATCTTTCTGTGATTTATGTCATAGAGTGTTCTGCCTGTGTTTTCCTTTAAGAGTTTGATAGTTTCTGGCCTTACATTTAGGTCTTTAATCCATTTTGAGCTTATTTTTGTGTATGGTGTTAGGGAGTGATCTAATCTCATACTTTTACATGTACCTGTCCAGTTTTCCCAGCACCACTTATTGAAGAGGCTGTCTTTTCTCCACTGTACATTGCTGCCTCCTTTATCAAAGATAAGGTGACCATATATGCGTGGGTTTATCTCTGGGCTTTCTATCCTGTTCCATTGATCTATCTTTCTGTTTTTGTGCCAGTACCATACTGTCTTGATTACTGTAGCTTTGTACTATAGTCTGAAGTCAGGGAGCCTCATTCCGCCAGCTCCGTTTTTCGTTCTCAGGATTGCTTTGGCTATTCGGGGTCTTTTGTGTTTCCATGCAAATTGTGAATTTTTTTGTTCTAGTTCTGTTAAAAATGCCAGTGGTAGTTTGATAGGGATTGCATTGAATCTGTAGATTGCTTTGGGTAGTAGAGTCATTTTCACAATGTTCATTCTTCCAATCCAAGAACATGGTATATCTCTCCATCTATTTGTATCATCTTTAATTTCTTTCATCAGTGTCTTATAATTTTCTGCATACAGGTCTTTTTTCTCCTTAGGTAGGTTTATTCCTAGATATCTTATTCTTTTTGTTGCAATGGTGAATGGGAGTCTTTTCTTAATTTCACTTTCAGATTTTTCATTAATAGTGTATAGGAATGCCAGAGATTTCTGTGCATTAATTTTGTATCCTGCTACTTTACCAAATTCATTGATTAGCTCTAGTAGTTTTCTGGTAGCAACTTTAGGATTCTCTATGTAGAGTGTCATGTCATCTGCAAACAGTGACAGCTTTACTTCTTCTTTTCTGATTTGGATTCCTTCTATTTCCTTTTCTTCTCTAATTGCTGTGGCTAAAACTTCCAGAACTATGTTGAATAAGAGTAGTGAAAGTGGGCAACCTTGTCTTCTTCGTGATCTTAGTGGAAATGCTTTCAGTTTTTCACCACTGAGGACGATGTTGGCTGTGGGCTTGTCATATATGGCCATTATTATGTTGAGGAAAGTTCCCTCTATGCCTACTTTCTGCAGGTTGTTTATCATAAATGGGTGTTGAATTTTGTCAAAAGCTTTCTCTGCATCTATTGAGATGACCGTATGGTTTTTCTCCTTCAGTTTGTTAATATGGTGTATCACATTGATTGATTTGCTTATATTGAAGAATCCTTGCATTGCTGGAATAAACCCCACTTGATCATGGTGTATGATCCTCTTAATGTGCTGTTGGATTCTGTTTGCTAGTATTTTGTTGAGGATTTTTGCATCTATGTTCATCAGTGATATTGGCCTGTAGTTTTCTTTCTTCGTGACATCCTTGTCTGGTTTTGATATCAGGGTGATGGTGGCCTCGTAGAATGTGTTTGGGAGTGTTCCTCCCTCTACTATATTTTGGAAGAGTCTGAGAAGGATAGGTGTTAGCTCTTCTCTAAATGTTTGATAGAATTCGCCTGTGAAGCCATCTGGTCCTGGGATTTTGTTTGTTGGAAGATTTTTAATCACAGTTTCAATTTCAGTGCATGTGATTGGTCTGTTCATATTTTCTATTTCTTCATGATTGAGTCTTGGCAGATTGTACATTTCTAAGAATTTGTCCATTTCTTCCAGATTGTCATTTTATTAGCAGAGTTGCTTGTAGTAATCTCTCATGATCTTTTGTATTTCTGCAGTGTCAGTTGTTACTTCTCCTTTTTCATTTCTAATTCTATTGATTTGAGTCTTCTCCCTTTTTTTCTTGATGAGTCTGGCTAACGGTTTATCTATTTTATTTATCTTCTCAAAGAACCAGCTTTTAGTTTTATTGATCTTTGCTATCGTTTCCTTTATTTCTTTTTCATTTATTTCTGATCTGATCTTTATGATTTCTTTCCTTCCACTAACTTTGGGGATTTTTTGTTCTTCTTTCTCTAATTGCTTAAGGTGCAAGGTTTGGTTGTTTATTCGAGATGTTTCCTGTTTCTTAACGTAGGATTGTATTGCTACTTCCCTCTTAGAACTGCTTTTACTGCATCCCATAGGTTTTGGGTTGTCGTGTCTCCATTGTCATTTGTTTCTAGGTATTTTTTAATTTCCTCTTTGATTTCTTCAGTGATCACTTCGTTATTAAGTAGTGTATTGTTTAGCCTCCATGTGTTTGTATTTTTTACAGATCTTTTCCTGTAATTGATATCCAGTCTCATAGCATTGTGGTCAGAAAAGATACTTGATACAATTTCAATTTTCTTAAATTTACCAAGGCTTGATTTGTGACCCAAGAGATGACCTATCCTGGAGAATCTTCCATGAGCACTTGAGAAAAATGTGTATTCTATTGTTTTTGGGTGAAATGTCCTATAAATATCAATTAAGTCCATCTTGTTTAATGTGTCATTTAAAGTTTGTGTTTCCTTATTTATTTTCATTTTGGATGATCTGTCCATTGGTGAAAGTGGGGTGTTAAAGTCCCCTATGATGAATGTGTTACTCTCGATTTCCCCTTTTATGGCTGTTAGTATTTGCCTTATGTATTGAGGTGCTCCTATGTTGGGTGCATAAATATTTACAATTTTTATATCTTCTTCTTGGATCGATCCCTTGATCATTATGTAGTGTCCTTCTTTGTCTCTTCTAATAGTCTTTATTTTAAAGTTTATTTTGTCTGATATGAGAATTGCTACTCCAGCTTTCTTTCGGTTTCCATTTGCATGGAATATCTTTTTCCATCCCCTTACTTTCAGTCTGTATGTGTCTCTAGGTCTGAAGTGGGTCTCTTGTAGACAGCATATATATGGGTCTTGTTTTTGTATCCATTCAGCCAGTCTGTGTATTTTTGTTGGAGCATTTAATCCATTTACATTTAAGGGAATTATTGATATGTATGTTCCTATTCCCATTATCTTAATTGTTGTGGGTTTCTTATTGTAGGTCTTTTCATTCTCTTGTGTTTCCTGCCTAGAGAAGTTCCTTTAGCATTTGTTGTAAAGCTGCTTTGGTGGTGCTGAACTCTCTCACCTTTTGCTTGTTTGTAAAGTTTTTAATTTCTCCATCAAATCTGAATGAGATCCTTGCTGGGTAGAATAATCTTGGTTGTAGGTTTTTCTTCTTCATCACTTTAAATATGTCCTGCCAGTCCCTTCTGGCTTGCAGAGGTTCTGCTGAAACATCAGCTGTTAACCTTATGGGGGTTCCCTTGTGTGTTATTTGTTGTTTTTCCCTTGCTGCTTTTAATATGTTTTCTTTGTATTTAATTTTTGACAGTTTGATTAATATGTGTCTTGGTGTGTTTCTCTTGGATTTATCCTGTATGGGACTCTCTGTGCTTACTGGCCTTGATTAACTATTTACTTTCCCATATTAGGGAAATTTTCAACTATAAT